TCCCTCGTGTGACTGAGACATTGTGGTTTAATCTGGATCGACCCTGTGTGGAGGAGACAGAGCTGCAGCAGCAGGAGCAGCAGCATCAGGCTTGGGTGAGTGAGGACCAAGCTCAGCATGAAGATGACCATGGGTCATGACCTTGCCTTATTCTGGAGACCTGCTTAGTACTTTTCTCTGGGTTGGGAATAGTCAAGCTGGGTACTTGGAGGCTAAAGCTCTCATTTTGTAGTACTCTAACTGGCTGAGGGGCCACAGGACTTCAGGGCTAGGTAAGATGTCAAGCTTCTGACAGCCTAAGTTCTTTTCTATAAATCACAGGACTTAATCATTTTAAATTAATTACTTAAAAAGGACCTACAATATTCTAGGCCAAGTGTCTCACTTCACCCTCACCAGAATTACATGAGAAAACTGAGACCAAAAGACTTTACATATGTCCATCAATTTTATCAGGAGCAGATGACAGGAGAAAGGGGGATTGAATCTTCCTGAGAACTGGGGGTGGGGGAATCTTTGTTTCAACATTTGGGGGTCTTCTAAGGGGTATAGTAAGCTAATCCCATGCCCTTGACCTGCTGTGCTTGGGCCTTGGCCCTGCTTTTCCCCCAAACGCCTTTGCCCACAGCTCCAAAGCATCGCAGAGAAAGACAACAACCTGGTACCTATTGGCAAGCCAGCCTCAGAGGTGAGTGGCTGGCTGGGGGGGAGTGCGGGGGGGCGGGGATGGGGTGGGGGGGCTGTGGTTTGTGAAGCCCTGCTTCTGTCTCAGAACAATTGTGGTTCTCAACCTGGGTAGACAGCTAAAGTGGGAACTTGAGGTGCAGGCATTGGGCCTAGCACTAAGGTCCCTCAGGTCATGCTGCAGCCTGCCATACCAAGGTGGGCAGGGTTAGGAAGGAGGAGGCTCCAAGGAGGCCAGCTCTTGACCTGGTCCAGGTAGCCCTGAGACCTACAGACTCTCTCTTGCCCTACCAGCACTATGATGATGAGGAAGAAGAGGATGATGAAGATGATGAGGACAGTGAAGAGGATTCAGAAGATGATGAGGACATGCAGGACATGGATGAG